AAATCAATGTCCGAATATAGGTATTTCTTATTGCAACAAATTTCCCCCGTTTGATAAGCTAATCCCAAATGACGTTTGGTGTGTGATTGATGCAATTTGAGAACATTATTGATAAAACTGCTATTTACTCTCAAAAATGACCAAGTATGAAATACACTAAAATGAACACATTGCATGTATAAACTAGGATGATAATTAACAATTAATTTATTTCTTACAGGTTTTGGGGATATACGGTAACTCGAATGATTTAGTATTTTAGATAATATTATTCACAGGGATATTAACGCTCAGAAATTTGCTTCCTAAACATTTTTTGTGTGGTTTTTATTTTCAAAATAATGGAATATTGAATGATTAAGTATTTTAGATAATATTTTTCATCCATTTCGGGGTCCTCGAGGATGCGTCGTATTTCGACGTCTAATTCAGAAACTTTTCTCACAGAGGGTGGCTGTAATATCTGGGGTTTAGGTGTTTGCAAATTTTCCAGCAAACTCTCGGGTACTAGAGCCATCTTTTTAGTAAATTCCATTACAACCCGAATATTTTAGGTACCACACTCCCTAGAATCCCTACCAGAGGTGCTAGCAAGCTACCAAGAAATCCACCCCCTCTGCAGGATTTTTTTCTTCTGTTTCAGGGCGATTTTAAGGTCCGCTAAATGTCTCAGACTACGTTTGTGTTTCGACAATCGTTTCTTGTGGTATGCCGAGAGTCGAACTCTCCCTTTCAAGATGTTAAGACAACACTCACACAATGCGTCAATGACTGGTTTACTTGCGTTTTTAATAATATGTATTCGCTGTCTTGGTTTGGCCCGCTTGAGTGCTTGTAATAGCTTGGCGTGACGATCTAGAACATACATTATCTATTTTCGGACAACTGTGTGTAGGTACAGTCGAAAATCAATTGCTTTTATACCTTTGGTACGTACACCGTGGGGTTATCCCTAGGGAAAATACTACTCCGAAGTCTCAAAAGGTCGGGGGTTGTACTCTTCAAATCGAGAAATAAATACGAATAGGGTTTCCTTGTAGCGTCCTCGTAACTTTCACGAACAAAATTAGTTTTCCCAGGGTACATCTGCTTGGCTAATTGCGTTATAGCAGACATGTCTCGAGGGTTCTTAAATATAATCATGTAATGGGCATTGAGACTGATCGTCCTGTGATGTTTACCTTTATGAAACAGATTTTGAACAATATAAATGACGGAAGTATTTTCGTGGCGACTTCAGCGGGTAAAGAGTTTTGATACTTTGTCCGTTGTCTCGTCCATCAAATCATCAATGATCAATAGTGTTCTTTCCTTGGGGTTTAGACTAGCGGATAACCCTTCGACAAATTCTACGATACCCGCTAATTCTTCGTACAAAGGTTGCCAAACACCGTAACAACACACGATACGATCTATGGGTTGATCGACAACTTGTGGTAGTTCTAGAATCAAGCGCCTGACCAATTGACTCTTACCCGATTGTGTGGGACCTGATATCATACATGTAAATGGGGTCTTTAGCCTTACATCCATTTCGTTAGCCGGGGTAAAAATAACTAATTCCATTTAAAAATGTTTAATCTTTTATTATATCAAAGTACAAATGTAATACATATAGAAAATGAAAATTATAATCATAAAAAAAAAAAAAAAAAAAGTTATTTAGTCAACGTGTGAACACATTCTAGGATTTGAGGTTTCCAATACAACGTTGCGTGTAGAAACAACTCTTCGCTCTGATCGCGAATCTCTGGGACGAATCGTGCTATCTGTAAAAAACGATCTTTGTTCAACTCTAGAAAACAGGATTCGAAGTACAAGTCCACAAAGTTGATTTCATCGAACCAATAGTTGATCCCCAGGCATGTATGTTCAAGCTGCCCTCCACGACCATTGAGACAGCCTTCACAGCGACCGGTTACACTTTTTGAAATCTCCGTGTTGATCATGTCTCCCAATATTTGCACAACTAACGTACGTATATTTTCGGCAGGACAGTAATGATCGTCATTGACATGCATAGGTTTTGAGCACATGGTGCACGGTACGAGGTGTGTAACGTGTTCCTCCGCATCTACAAGATCCTCGTGGAAAATGAGTTGATTTTCGGCGTAGACCCCTTCTACGCGTACTTCCGTGCTGTAGCAATCAGGCTGGTCCCATCCTTCATTGTTTGCTGCAGAAACACAATCCTCTGGAGTATTGTGCCACGCCTGTCCAGATTTTAACAAACTCCAATCCTTTACCCCGAGACCCGACTTGGCAGGCGAACAACCATACACATGATAACGGCCGCGCTTGAACGATCTTGTAACTCGAGACACGCCTGTTAGGTCGGAAAAGGTTTTTTCGGGTATCACCAATTGTCTACCATTTTTTCTCTCCAGAACCATTTGGCGGGCGGTTCCCAGTTCACAGCTTAACTCACTGTTGATGGCAAATTTGGTAGGTTTTGTACAGGATAAATATCTTTTGAAACGATCAACAACCCGACTCCATTCTTTTAATGTCATCTTAAAAACCATTTTACGCTTCAACCCTAAATAACCAGCCTTCAGTAATATTTCAGGGGTTGTATTATCATTGTCCCCTAAACTCAATGTCAAACCGACTGAAACATCTGATATCTTGGGTGAAGCCATGTTGTTTCGTATGATAACTCAATAGTTAGGCATCTATTTATATATATATATACAACTCGTTATATTATTGGTTCGCACAGACCGCCCAATAAAAAATACGTTGGACAGAAATTATACACAAGTCTCCGCCTTTGCTAAGCCTACTACACCTAGGGGTGGTTCCTCACCCGTAAAATTATTTTCACACAACTCTTTAAAGCTAACTTTCAATGCCTCCCATTGTTTCACGTTTAAATGAACACCCTTTCGGGTAGGTTTTGGCATTCGTTCCTCTTCACACCACCAAAATTTACGAATGTTGACTCCAGGGTATTTGTTGTCGATCGTTACGTACACGTCATTACCAATAGGCACTGATTTCTTTACAATGTTTTTTTGTAAATACTCATCTATCTCTGAGGACGTGTTCATCAATGTCTGCCATTGCCGCTCGAAAAACATGATACCATTGGGTGTTGGATATCTATCACTCTTAAAACCGTAACCATACAGTCTGATGTAATAACACACATCTTCTTGCCAAATACATTTTACAACCAAATAATCATTTCCAATATCCTTTCGATACAGGTCGATACTCATGATGTTAATCTCTTGTTTTCAACTTCATAAAACAATTCTACATTTGAACGTGTAATCAACCCCCTTTTATACCTAGATTTTCGAAACTTAAAACCAAAATTTAACTACACCCTGTCACAAATATGTAGATTAAAACTATTGGCTTAGAACAAAATCGACAAAATCACCTGTCAAGCTTAATGGCGGAGGTCATTGTCCCTTAATACAGGTATAGCTACACTTGGCGTGAACTCAATGTAACCTCTACACACCTGCCTATAAAGCGAAATATCCCCCCCCCCTACCCTCCAATAAACAATTCGTGCACCCCATACCCTCGTTACAAAAGTCAAACACGATCAAAGAATATAACACCTGCATACCTTTTTTATTATTCATAACCTCATTGTTCAGTCAACAATAACCATATTCAACCTATAAATAGAACACCTGTGGAATGCTCTGACGTCAGACCTTAGGAATGTGTGACGTCAGACCTTTGGAATGTCTGGAATTCCAAAATTGCTCCAGACTACCCTCTCTACTACTGGGGTGTAACCTTTGTGTTATAACCTTAATTAATCCGTGTAAACTATTTAATACATAAGGGTGAGTACAGTTAAACAATTCGCTAAACTTGTGTATATTTGGTCGTAAGTAGAACTTAGGCGATATAGACAATTTCCTTTTCTTTAAAATAACCGAATCTGTACAAATAAACAGATAGTGGAACTCGTCGCCAATTTCATTTAGAATGCATAATTTACAGGTTATATTTTCTCTCGGGGTTCTAAATCTACATATTAGTTTAGATTTGTACATGGGTAAGACTGAAAGATATTTTTCGAAATCAAGACTATGTTTAAATAATCTGTAATTTAAACCCTTTGGAGATAATGCTATGCTACTATGCCATGATTGTAAAAACATTATCTTAGTTTTATGTGTATTCACTTTTAATTTCCATAATAAGCAGTATTCATTGAAAATATTTAGTTGTTTTTGTATGTCCTCGCTTGACTCTGCTAGCAATATAGTGTCATCAGCGTACAATAATATAAATAGTTTTAGATAGATATGCAATTCATTTCGGGCTTTGCTAGATATAGAGCTAAGTCCGTTTACATTATTTTTATTCAGAAATTCTTCTAAATCATTCAAGAAAATGGAAAATAAAAACGGGGAGAGATTTTCGCCCTGTCGTATTCCGTTGGTACATTCGAAACTAGGCGATTCTTCGCCGTTTAGTTTGATCTTGGCTTTAATGTCCTGATAAATATTAATTATAACAGCGTGTTTAATTAAAATTAATTTACAAAAATTCAAAATTAATTTACAAAAATTCAAAATTAATTTACAAAAATTCAAAATTAATTTACAAAAATTCAAAATTAATTTACAAAAATTAAAAATTAATTTACAAAAATTAAAAATTAATTTACAAAAATTAAAAATTAATTTACAAAAATTAAAAATTAATTTACAAAAATTAAAAATTAATTTACAAAAATTAAAAATTAATTTACAAAAATTAAAAATTAATTTACAAAAATTAAAAATTAATTTACAAAAATTAAAAATTAAAAATTAATTTACAAAAATTAAAAATTAATTTACAAAAATTAAAAATTAATTTACAAAAATTAAAAATTAATTTACAAAAATTAAAAATTAATTTACAAAATTAAAAATTATATTTATAATTATAGACTAGTAATGAATGAATGAATGAATGAATGAATGAATTAATTATAATTTGAATTTCTGTCAATTAATTATAATTTAAATTCTACACAGATACACCACCTACAACATCAAGTGAGACAGATGCAACACCTAGTGATACATATACAGCAACCAGTGGTGTAGATACACTCCACACAACAACCACGTTAGATACACCACCTACAACAACCAATGTAGATACAGCAACCACGGTAGATAGAACACCCACAACAAATGGTAATACTGATACAACCACGGTAGATACAACACCTACAACACCTGGTAATACAGATACTACCACGGTAGATTCACCACCTACAACAACTGGTGATACAGAGACACCCCCTACAACAACCGTTGTAGATACATCAACCACGGTCGATACACCACCTATAACAACCGGTGATACCGATGCAACACCTACAGCAACTAGTTTTACAGATACGCCACCTACAAAAACCACGCCACCATCGACAACAACCAGTGATACAGATGCGCCACCTACACCACTTACAGCAACTAGTAATACAGATACTCCACCTACGACAACTAGTGGCGCTGACACAAAAACTCACACATTTAATAACTCCACCTTAAAGACGCCAAGTAAAGAAGTCAAGAAGTTGTGTGGCTGTAACTGCATTAAAAGGCCCAACCCTAATCAAACAAACACTCTTCAGGCAAAGGTAACTTCACTACAGAAAGATCTTAAAGTGACAGTCAAAAGTCTTTCATCCACAATACGTAGAAAAAAATCAGCTGCCGACTCTAGGGTGTCATCATCGATTATTGGGACAACCTCCACCATCATCCTGATCTGTACAATGGGTGTCATGGTTGTGGCGGACATCCCAACCATAGCTAAGCACATTTACAGCAATTTCTGTGATGCACGAAAGAAAGACAGCGAGACTGAAATGATATCAACAGTTACTTGATTTATTGAATAAAGTGAATACAAATTTCTTTTTTTAAAAAAACATTAGCAATTTCTGTGAGGTACAGAAGTAAATTAGCGACATTGAAATTTTATGAACTTTTACAAGAAATACACATAATTTACTTGATTTAATAAATACAGTTTTTTCATGCGTGTTGCGTTCAAAGCGCAATATACATTTAAAATCCCTGTCTCTAGAATTACCTCCCTTTGCGGCAACGCGCTTCAAAACTTCAAATCTGAGTAACAACTCCAACTTATGCTGCCCAGAGCTCAGCAGTGGTCTGTGTGATTACATATACCACCCTACGTGTACCACCTGGGTAGACTGGGATGCAGGGGTCATATTCAAGGACGAAATGACTCGACGTCCAGTTCATGTCTCGAGTCTGCAACCATCACAAACCCTGCTAGAGATGTGTTCTTTTATATATATTCCAGTTTGTGTAGGGGACTAAAAGTCCTTCAAATGACAATAAGAGACTTGGGCCACTCCAATGGTGGTTACTCTTGTAGGTTATTATTGTCTTTGCAAATGGGTCAGATCTAAATATTGGGACCACCTCCCGATTTCGTCAAGACCACGAGATGTAAACAGGGCTAGAACACGTGATTGTTTCCCTGTATTGTGGGTTAGGACTTGGTCTAGGGGTGGCGCTAGTCCTGTAAACATCTCGTGACCTTGCCGAAATCTGGAGGTGGCTTAAATATTTAGATCTAACCTTGCAAATGCAACCATAGTAGTTATACGTTATTTGGACACAGCTCACCAAATATTTCTACGCCGTCACAAATGTAGGGCGAAAGTCTTTCCCTCCCTTTCCCTTTTCACTCCTTTTTCATGGTGATTTTTGTTGTCAGGTTTTGGTGAATATTCATGATTTTGAGGCGGAAGGATACAAGAGATTGGTTAGGTTGAAATGTAGGGCCGAAAATTGCTGGGTTTTTTTCTTGTATCCACTTCCAGCTTATGTATCTCAAGTTTTTCATGGTGAACCTCATACATGCTTTTGGGCAAGAGTTTGCCACATGTTGCTCCATCTGTGGCATAAAGCGTTCTACCGAACGAAAATTTGGGAAAAACTTAGAGCCGGTCTAAGAGAAAAGAATTAACATTAAAGTCAATAGGGAATTCATTAGTGATCTGTAGCCATTTTAAGGTGACTAGTTATCGCTATTTAGTGTTATGCCCCTTTGCATCCTGTGCATTATAATTTTTCCATGGTAATAGCTGAAGTTGGTTGTTTGATTACATCACGGTTCACTCCCATTTTCTTACACATCGCAACAATGACCCGTTCCATGACACGCCTCTATTTATATGTGACATAATGCATTCCACAGAAAAAGAGAGAGAGTTGGGGTTAACGTCCACCCCAGGCCATTTCAGGACTTACATATGGTTCAATTTTATTTCTATAATTTGCTTGCGCTTAGGGGTCTTTAGCACTATTTTCAAGAACTTTTAATATGTCGACTGAGCAATGAATATGAATGCAGTTTTTGACAATAGAAAAGATCGCCAAATTACTTTTTAATTTTCCTTTGTCTTAAAGATGTAATATGTAAGAGCTAAATTGTCCTTGTCCAGAACTTTCGTTTTGACCTCAAATGTTATATAAATCATTAATTATACATTTATTCACATGCCAAGCCCATAATCAACTCTTTAATCCATCGGTTGGTTTTGATTTTAAAAGGATTAAAATACGATTACCCGTTAATAATTTAATTAAAAATGGATAACCAAGACTTATTATCGTAACAACGATAGTAATGACAATCGAGACTATGCTGTTCTTCAAATGTCCATAAGTCCGCGCAGAATGAAATAATGAAATCGAAATTTTCAACATATTCCCTTTTCATTATCTGTGTTTTAAGTAGTATAGAGAGAGTTCTTAACTCTTTATCTAAATCTTGCATAATGCATCTTTAATATAGAACATTATTGTATAATGACACATATAAACAAATGTATAATACAAATATACTGAGCGCCATGGAAAACGCATCACTTAGTTTTTCGTATAACAAAATGATCCTGTAAACATATCTTATGTATTTTGCTTCTTATTGTGAACAATATTCAAATGGGAACACATCAATAACAACACATTTGTACACTTATGGATGTTTAATCAAAGTCAGAGGGGTCAAAACCAAAAGTACGACACAGATGTCAGTAGCGCGTGTGTCCTCCACGGGCTCTTACGCACGCTGTGCAGCGACGTCGCATGGAATTAACCAATGTTTGAAAGAAGGCCTGGGGCAAATTGTTCCATTCTTGGACAAGAGCAGCTTCTAAAGCAGCAATGGTGTGCATATGTGGTCTCCGATACAGGCGGCGTCCAATCTCATCCCAGACATGTTCTATCGGTGCCATGTCCGGAGACATGGCTGGCCAGTCCAAGACATTGATGTTGTTAGCAGCCAGGTAGTCCATACTAAAACGGGCGGTATGCGGACGTGCATTATCCTGTTGGAAGTGCTGAAGTTGTGGGTGCGCTCGAAACATCGGAACAACAATTGGTTGCAAGACATCAGCACGGTAGGCTACAGCATTAACGCGACCCCTGCAAATGTGTAGGACGGTCCGGTGATGAAATGTGAAGCCTCCCCACACCATTACACTTCCCCCACCCCATCGATTCGTTTCGAAGACACAGCAGTCTGCAAGACGTTCCCCAAGACGTTCCCCAAGACGTCTCCATACACGTTGACGGCCATCAGCGTGATAAAGATGAAAGCGACTCTCATCACTGAAGAGTGAGCACACTTTGCCAGTCTACTCTTCTCCATTTCTGGTGTCCTTGAGCCCATATCTCTTAGACGACGTCTTACGGTGTTGGCACTTACTGGTCCTTGTCTTCCGACGACTGCTGCACCTGTTCGAGTCGCTGGGCGGAATCTGTCACGCAGATGAGTGACCCGGATGTAGCGGTCTTGAGCCTGGGTTGTAACGCGTTGTGGGCCAGGACGTTGACGGTGATGTGTTGATCCAGTAACTCGAACACGTTCCACTAATCTTACAATAGTGGACTGATGACAATTGAAGTGTCTGGCAATAGCACGTGTAGACATGCCAGCCCTGGATATTCCCGACATCTCTAGCTCGATTCCTTCACACGTCCAACAACAAATTACGACAGATTGACGTTTCACAGTTCATGAACTGCACATTAAGTTGAAAACATGCTTTTAAAGGGCTCACACACAATACTGCACGTGAATATTGGGTTTTTCGTGTGCATCTCGTGCAATTTTTTTTTGTGCACACGGGCCGATATTTTTTGCGTTTGGGAGCATTGTGTGAAACAATAGTTCATAGTATTGCATAATATTATACATACAAAACCACCTAGTAATAAAATATTTGGGAAAAAAGTGATGCGTTTTCCATGGCGCTCAGTATATATAAATTATTAATCTGTAGAGAGTTTCTTTCCCGTTAACTTCCCAAGAGTGTTAATCATACATTTTTAAACAAATCAATGGCTTTAAAACAGAGACTTAACTGTGTTCAATGTTCCGGATCCATAAAAATACATTATTATTTTAGTCAAACATTTTCGCCATATTTTGATCGCACTTTCAACAGCAACTGATCGACAGGTACCAGGTGACTGATATAAGGAAAATAGATCTTGAAGATAAACTGGGCCGAGATTGTGATTCGATTTAGAGTACAGATTGGAATCCAATGTAAATAAACTTCATACCCCAGTATAGAAAGCTGACAACAGGATATTTTAGCAGAATAATAATATGCTGTATTTATAGTGTTTAAAGGAAATCAGAGTAAGGTTAGTGAATATAACACTTTTCAATTCAAATTTGAATTTGCGGTTATTTCATGTTTAGCTATGCTTTTAAAGTGAACTAAAATTGATCAGTGGGCTGTGTTTTACCTATTTTATAATTCCAATTGTCAACCAGTAGCATTCTATAAAAGCCAAATGACTCACGGTTCTAAAAAAACAATATATCATAATAAAGAGCCTATATTTCCGCAGTTCATATGTCATCTACTTGTCTGGAAGAGAGTCGTCCTATCTTCTATTTTATGTCTCATTTGAACTACTGAACTTCTGGAAGTTGTTGGATCTCTTCCGTTGTGTTCAAGTTGGGCGCATCATCCACCGGTCTTCGCAGATTGAACCCTGCGCTGATTACTCCTCGATGTTTTTAAGGATCAGTGTAAGATATTAGACTGTCCTCCATCGACTTTGTCTCTAATGATTTTTCAAATAATTTTTAATATCACTGCATAATTTAATCGAATAAGATTTAAATTCGAGTTCGCAGATAATCTTCGCTATACATCAACTGATCACTTGACTGAATGTCCAAACATATTTGCTTTCATTACCGTAAACTTAAGTGTTAGTTTTGTATAGTTGAAATAAATACATTAATAACAGTTGACATATTTGTTTATGTTTTTCAAGAGCAATGTAGACCTACGTTTTTCTGAATCCTGGTTAAGTGGACATAAATCCTCAGATAGGCGTATGCGTATAGCGTGGGCCCAATTGTTTCAAAGGGCTGTCGGGCTGTGGCGCAGCAGAAATTGGTCAGTTCCCACTAAAATATATTACTGTATGCAACTCAACATAAATATACCCTTTAAAGATTTTGATGAAATCGATGGTTGTTTTCGGACAGTGGCATGCTAGCAATAAAAAAATAGCATCTTCTTCCTTTAAGGTAATCAACATATTTATGCGATCAGGCTTTTCTTTTCTCATCAACTTGCTCTTACTTATACCAGTAATCTGACGGTCATAAAATTCATTATTATATGAATGAAACTAAATGGTGAATGCCGACTACGAAATGAAATGAAATGGGGTTTAACGTCCTACTGTTCTGCTCCTAAACTGGGCTAATGAAGACGGGCATACGCCATACAGTGTGCTATGAGGGAAATTTTGCCCGGGCAGCGGCACTATGGCCTACTCTTGTAGCGAATTCCAACTGCCAAGGGATCTTTTACGTGCACGCCAATGTGTACACGGGACCTCGTTTTTTCGTCCCATCCGAACGACTAGACAGCTGTCCTTGTCAGGCCCTCTGTCCTGCATCACTGACTA